TATCTGAAATACAAATACGTATGGACTTCATTATAACCTGAGTCATAAGAGAATCACGTGATCCTATGCCACAAAGATTCAAAAAAAGCGTGGAAGAAAACTACAAACTCCTAGTTAGATTGGACTTACTTATCACGATATAGAGAACGTCCAGTGATTCGGGTCAAACTGCGGAACATGTGCAAATTCACGAACGAAGGTGAGAGTCGAACAACGAAATAGCTGAAAATTCTCAAAAACAGTCAACGGTAGACGACAGCATAACAGAAACTTGACACACGAAAAAATGAACTTCTTCCACTCTTTGATCAAAACAGGGCAATGAAAACAAAATTCGTAGACCTAACGAAAGTTCTCATTGCAAGAGTGCATTCATACTTTGCAACTGCCTTTTGAGCGTTTTCAGCGTGGTTTTGAGGGAGATAAAAAAAATATAAAAAGGATAAAGTCTTCGCCGTTAATCAATCCCTTTGTGGGATGCGGCACGCATTCTACTTCCATTCAGAATCGTAGTGGCTTATTGAATGCGATGTGGCCTATACAATGACTTGCGGGGGCCAGCCGATGTACAAGTCAGTGTTTTATCCTCCCAGACGAATCTGGTACCAATTTACCGTCCCCGGAGGGTAGAAGGCTTGGTTGGCCTGGGCGGGTGTCGACCTGGGATTCGAACCCAGGACCGCGCGAGTGGTAAGCGCGCCACTTGTCACTACACCACCTCCGCCATGTAAGAAAGTATATACCGTTTATCGCTGAAAACGCTGACGAACTCTCAAAAGGCTGGATGGATACCTGTACTTTCATAGTAGCTCTAAGCGCTCAAAACGCTGCCGCAAAATATGAACCCACTCCAATTCTTGCTGAACTCGGAATGCTTTGTTGAGCTTGAACCAGAGCTTAGGAAAGGCAGTAAGATACTTGTCAAAACCGTGAAAAAATGAACAACACAATTACCCGTCTATGGTCGTGATCTTTCCAAAAACGTCTGTAAGCTGAGAAGCTGCCACAGCGCTCATACCAACACGCATCTCCACTTCTAGATAGCCCTCGATCACGCTACAGTGCTTCAATTGCATTGCCTGTAAGTAAAACTTAGAGAAAAAGAAATGCAAATTCTAATGCCACTTATGATGTAAGTCCCTGACAACCGGAAAATGCCATGTTACCTTTAACATAACAATCACTAAGTGTAACGTTACAAAACATGGAAAAAATGGATTAAAAACAACCAGCGACGAAAATTAAGAGAGAAAGGGCAATTAGGTGTAAAAAAGGTTGGGCAGCGTCATTTGGTAGGTAAACATATTCCGGCATTACCTTTGACATACTGTCTACAGTGATATTTCCAGGACATTTGCGTACACATTCGCCAGCGCATTTTCTGCAGCGTTTCTTGTTTGATGGGTCTATAATGCAACCCATTTTGAAAACTGACAGGAGACATAAGCTTCCTCGAATTTACCTTCTTCCAGTCCTTCAGGACAAATCGTTGCACAAACTCCATTAGCTGGTTTATAGACGTCTTTACCCCCTCGCAGTGCTGACATCCTGCAAAACAAGAACGTCAACATTTTTCTAATCTGCTACAATTTTGTATGAAGATTTCCCAGGTAGATCTGTACAGGCTCCACTGAGTACAATGTGGTGCCCCCAGTAAAACAGAACAGCAATAATTATTCTTTGTACTTCGATAGAATAACAAACAACACGTCACGGTGGTTCCTATGGGAAAAATGATTCCAAAGATAGCGTTTGTTAAAGATAGCCAACTGATAAAATTTGCAAGGGTATTATCCCTCCAGTTATTATTAGTCCTGCACAACAACACGTGACAGCATACGGTTCAAATCAGACAAAGCACACTTCACGAATCGCATTCCGCTTCCGTGATGCATCGACGGTTTAGGTATACGAACAGATTCGCTGGACATTTCTCGACGCATGCACCCTACAAACGACTACTTGTTTTGTATTGTATGAATAAAAATAATACATAATAACAACAGTAATGATAATGATAGTAAGGGGTGAGTAGCACTGAAAAGAGGAAAAGAAGAATGTTACAGGGCTTGTACGCTTTCAACTACTACTAACACTGTGGACAAAAGACGGAAAACAAAGAGACACACGGATGGACAGACAGAGACCGTCAGACTGACTTACAGAGACAAACAGACAAATAGACTGAGAGAGAGAGACGACATACAGGCAGACAGACGGAAGAAAGAGAAAGAAAAGAGAAAGAGAGAAAGAGAAAGAGAAAGAGAAAGAGAAAGAGAAAGAGAAAGAGAAAGAGAAAGAGAAAGAGAAAGAGAAAGAGAAAGAGAGAGAAAGAGAAAGAGAAGAAGAAGAAGAAGAAGAAGAAGAAGAAGAAGAAGAAGAAGAAGAAGAAGAAGAAGAAGAAGAAGAAGAAGAAGAAGAAGAAGAAGAAGAAGAAGAAGAAGAAGAAGAAGAAGAAGAAAAGAAAAGAAAAGAAAAATAAAATCTCAACCCACGTTGTGATTGTAATGCAAACATCCGTAGCATGCTGTGTCATCATCCGGTACCGTACATCCGGCTACACACTGTCGGTGACATTTTGCACCGTTAGAATCTGCGCATCCGGGTCCCACAGTGCCATTAATACGATCGTATGGGCAGTCTGTAGAAAAGCATACGGATAATGATAAATCAGAGCAGAACTCGAAAGGAAGACCATGGCTTTTCTGAGCGCTTCACAACAGCCTAATGTTCTCGAAAGAAAAAAAAACTGAATAGGTAAGTTACCCTCTTGACAGGTTGTCTTATTCCAACATGATAACTGCTCTCCCTCTTGCGTGTACTACACGTCGACATTTGGACTCGTCTTCGACATCACAGTCATCAGTGCAAGATACTGAAATGCGAAGGCAATCTTTATCCAACCGGAAGCCAAAAAACTACCAAAGTAAAAAAAATTGGATTTGAAATAAGCCTCATCAAAATGTTAAACGAAATGAAGCAATTAAAGTATGTATTCTATGAGTCTGCAACGTCTCTCTGGAAGATGGCCAAGACAATGGTAATTTTCCGCTCTATCACGTGCGGCCATGAACAGTTTTCTGAATACATTAGCTTGTCTGGAGCACCGGATTTCATGAAGACTGTGAGATCGCGGGCATTTAGGGCTATTCTTGGCTATCATTCATTGTCGCTATCTACAACCAAGATCTTTCTTCCAACGTTCTGAGCTTGGTCCAGGTCTGGAGCTTTCAAGCTGGAGTCCAAACTATTAACAATCGAAAATGATGGAATCAGGTCTGCTCTGGTCACCACTACAAAGGTAACTTTGTTCCGCTCAGGTGGCCTCAGGTGGTCTACCCCAAATATTCTTGAACCATGTGTAATCTTTTGATGAAGACGATCCGGACGAGCTCTCTACCAGAAATACAATGTTCTGACACCGGTTAAGTACGCAAAAAGGTTCCCGATAAGTTCTTAATAGATACTGAAAATAAAAATCCCTGAAATAGGAAAATTGACTCCCCGCTCTAAGTTGAAGCGCATTAATTGCCTTTATTTCCTGTGGTCGTCTACGCCCCTCACCGAACGGGCACGCTCATAGCTTCGCACATGTAAATAGTTTGACCGTGGTCGGCAAGCCACCCATTTCCTACACCCGGAAGTTTGTCTTCTCTTTGATTTGTAAATCTATCGCTTCGCACTGTCAGCAATTGAGTCAACAGCTGTTCTTCAACCGCATTACGCCCTGGCCTAGGTGGTGCAAGCTGCCAGTGGCCTAGAGCCCGGAACATGACGCAGGTCGTACTGCACAAGTGTGGAACGGAAATACTGTAGATTTCAGGCACATAATAAAAATCAAGGTCACAAAGACGAATAAAAACAAAAACTGCGAAAGACAATGGAAATGATGATTAGAGTGAATGAATCATACCCTCGCAAAATCCCAAAAGATTCTCGAATTAAAGCAAAATAAATATGTAAATAAAACCGAGTAAAACAATTCAGAAAATCAGCGACGAAAAAACTTACGGATCTTTCCCTCTCCGACACCAATTTCCACCGAATCATCGACAAGTATGTCATTCAACGGACCAGCCATGAGGTGCTTCCAATCGATATACCGTGAGTAGCACATTTTGTTGTTTTCAGCAATACGAACTCCTCCATTACGAATGAGCCGTAATTTGGTGAGACCGATCTGAAGTAACGACTGCTCTGCAATCCTGCCACACGAACCATTTGTCAACCCCAATATTTCTCGCTAGCACGCAGTTCGGAGTCATTTTCTTGTGATGTCGTTCACCGACCCATTGAAGGGAGGACAAGAAGCACGGAGAATGGTTATCAGATATCCTGGTGAACCCCTCTATCTAGCACTGAAGTGCAGTGGCAAGGCGGTTTCTGTGTAAACGCGTAGAAGTGGGAGAAGCTATACAAGGATTTTTGACAGTAATCCACTAATATCTAGGACCCACCAACTAATCTTCTTATCACCACATTCTTCGACTTTTAATCACTAAAAAACCCCAACGGCAAATCGCAACACTTACATCGATAAGGTCCTCATTCTGATAGATAATTAGTGAAAAATGTTGAATCAGATTCTGACCACCAATGATCCGGAGATTCGGGAAAATTCGTGACAATGTTGATAGTTTCCTACAAAAACACATATGTTACTAGTGAGATATGGATTGAAACAGACATAGAGATGAACTATAGAAGCCATAATGAGATATGGATTGAAACAGACGCAGAGATGAACTATACAAGCCATAAGTCAAAGGTTATCAAATTATCAAAGTTTACTAAATCATAAGTTCAGGAAAACAGGTGGGCTACAGTGTCCCAAAATGCTCGTAAAACTAAGTACGTTGTAACGATAAGCAGATCCCGCCACGGGTGGATAGCGGAATTCGCATTGCTCTCGCTTGCTGGCTCCCTGTGCGCACTCATGGAGCAGTTTTACAATCAACTTGAAAAGATCACATAACTAGTAACCATATAAAAACAAATAAATTCAATAAAAATGCGGCGCAGGTGTAGCAGAGAGATCAAAAGCACAAGGAGATGGTGAGCTGTGGATGGACCAACTTTTCTATGAGAAAAGGGGTTGCCGTAGAAAACGACGGACCCATCTTGGAGCTCTTTTTCCCCAAACTTGGGTATAAAAGGCTGAGGAACTTTACCATATAAGCACCAAACTTGCAGTAAGAATACACAGAGCTGAATAATAGCGAATGAACCAACCTGACATGGAAAATCAACAATGATCCTGTGATTTCTCGAAGATGCTGGAACGTTGGAAAATCTGCCTCCGTCACATTTGAGTTCTGTATTAATGACAACACCATCGAGCCTTCCAAAACGCTACAATTGCTGAAACAAAGAAAGACTTTTTCAGCTAAAATTTGGAAAATAAACTAAGGTAGTGATCAACTGCTTACACATGACTGCTTGAAATCGACTTATGACCACCGAGCTTGTAGCCCTGATTCGGATGATTTCGAATGTCCAACGTTCCACAACGCCGTTCCGGCAACCCTTCAGAAAAATTCACCTAAAAAATTTATTGCAATTCACTGAGGTTCAAAGAAGGATATTGAAGAATACAGGCTCATATATTGAGAAAACGTCTCGTAAGAAATCAGTACATAATCTAGTATCTGCAGTTTTTACGACCCCTCCCCCCTCACAGTTTCTCCGCTACTGCCAGCTCCTTCCTCGTGCTACGCTACCTACCACCTGTTTTATACCAGTCTCCTATCACTTTTCCGAGATTTACCATTTTTCAGTCAAATTTAGCAGTTGACGGGGAGCGAGATTTAGGACATAGGACCGTCTTTTCCCCTCTTCGCCCTCTCGCGCACGGCACTTGAGAAATCCTCTCAAATTCATATACGACCCCCCCCCCTTTCTCACCGTTTTATAAAGCGATGAGCAAATACCCCCTCTCCGCAATTGAAATTATCCAGCGTTATTGATAGCGCTTAAGGAACAAAAAAAATAAACTATCAAAAAAATATTCTCGAGGCCAGATACGGCTCCCCTCCCTTCAACGACCAATTACGACCCCCCCCCCTCCCACCAGCTTTGCTCGACGTGACCTCATAGACACTGCAGCGCATTTCTTCGTCATGACTCACAAACTTTAATGAAGTAATCTCCCTTCAAAACAATAGTAAAAATAAAGCGGATGAGAACAAATGCACAATACAAAAAGAACTTCCGATAGCTCAGCTGCAAGCTCTAGCACTCACATTAATAACAACTGCAGACTTACACCTAGTCAATGACTCAACACTATCGGTATTGTAAAAAAGGAAAAATCTAGGGAAGCACATTCAAATAAGAGAAATAAAAACTTACGCATAAACATAACACAAGTATAGAGATCAGGCTGAGCATACTCCCATTGAGATACCTGAAAATGTGTGTAAAATATGACATGAATAAAAACTAGACATTATGGAGCGTCGGGCTCTTGATGTCTTAAGTGAGCATTTCATGCGAGTATGTCACTCATCAAAACAGTAAGTTTTGACCATCTTACTAGAAAGTTTGTTAAGGACTTGCAATGACAAAAATATTAATAAAAAACGTCCAAAATACTACGATTCTCAAGAATTTTGAATTTTCTCAAACCTAAGAAAATTGACAAGGGTATGAAAAGCGTGATAACGGAAGAAAGATATTATAATGATATTAACTATTAACAATAAGATAAAATAAAAAGATTGAGTCTTAAGAAATCTTAGGCATCTGTTATAAAGTTGAAAATTACTTCAAAGTCATTCAGTACTTTAATTTATTTATTCATTTTTGCTCAATTAATTAATCAAGTCGCATAGAGACCTTAAACTTGTCCGACCCCTTTTTCAAATATTCTATGCGTATTTTCGAATCGAAATCAGTGTCAGACAATGTCACGATTGAATTACTAACTAATACTTCAGTTTCTTTTGAATGTGCGGGACCAATAGTTTCGTTCAACGGTTATAAGTGAGAAAACCTTAAAAGACCTTAACAGATTAACTGCCTTTGACAGGCTGCCAAAACGAGGGAAATCGTGTTTCTTTCACTGAAAACTGCTTTCTGCGGAGAACTACAAATTGGTCCACTTTTTCTTTCCATGGGGAAGATTACTTTTGCGTAAAACCTTTTCGAGAATTCAGCAATTAACTTCATCACGAGTTTTCAAAGTTTTCACATTTCTTTTGCTATTGCGGATGTTTTGATCGAAGTAGCCCCTCGTAGTTCTGTAAATCAGTAGGGAAAAAATACTGGGGAAACAAAAGTGTGGAATCACTGACACGTTCTGATGCTGAAATTGGCGCTCGCTGCAAATATCCACAAGCGGCCTACAAAAGAACAATCCTACAACGCGCAAATAGAAAAAAATAGCGAGGGAACTGAGGTGCATTTTTCTTTTGCTGATAGTAATTCTCAAAATAGCCCATTATAAAATCAAACTTCAGTTGAAACAGACCATCTGAAAAATACTCCCAGAGAATACTTACTGTAACCTACAACAAACAACCTTCTCTTCTACTGAAGGCCTTCATGAAAAAGCCTCCAAATTTTCCGCGCTTTGAAGCTGCTCGCAATGAATCACTTGGGCTATTGAAAGGTTTCAGTTCAAGTTTCCTCATCTTAACCCGTAAATAGCTCAGCAAAAGAAGAAAGGGAGACTGAGATGATAAACGCTTCTGAAAGAAGTTTTCGCCGTTGATCAAACCATTTTCGGGATGGGGCGCGCGTTCTACTTCCATTCAGAACCGCTTATTGAATGCGATATGGCCTATATAATGACTTGCTGGTGTACAACTCAGTGTTCTTATCCTCCCACACGAATCTGATACCAAGTTACCTTTTTCCGGGGAGTGGGAGGCTTGGTTGGCTTAAACCGATCTAGGATTTACGATCGCACATGCGGAAAGCGAGCTACTTACCTCTGAACCACCACCGCCTTCCCAATGCAAGTAACAGTACTAGTTAGACAATCAAGACTAGGTAGGGATTTTAAGTTAAAGTTTATACGTCTTCACAAGGTGACCTGGTGAAGACTTCGAATAATGCAGCCCGCTGGGCCGTAAATAGCTCAGAAATAACAAGAAAGGATAAGGGGGGGGGGAGACAGACTTTTAAAGAAGAGGATAACATTCACTATGATTCTATCAATTTGTTTATCTATGTGTCCATGTCCATCAAACGCCCTAATAACACGTGCAATCACGGGCTAAATGACAAAAAAAAATAAAAAAGTAATAAATTATAAAGCCAACCAAAGAATGAGAATTAAACATAGAAAAAAGAAAGAGAAAAACAGAGTCAGAGAAAAATATTAAAACAAAAGTAAAATACCTATGACAAGGAAAGAGGCTTATAAATAACTGATCACCATTACTGCGATTAATTTTGGATCTGCTGCTTTAAACTGAATGAATTGAACGTTAACATAATGAAACAAATCTTGACGCTCTTCGGCTTGCGAGGGGCATTTCGCACGTTGGCTCAATCGGTTTGCTAACGCTTGTTACCTAATCCAGGACCAACAGGTTTGATAGGACTATAAACCCTTGCAAAGCTAGGGATTGGAACAATGACTTGCAAGACTCTTCTCAAGGTGGCCCGTACAGGTTTCGCTGAGTACCGTTCAGTGTCCCATTACCCGTTCCGGTAAATACTGAATATGTAGAACAGAGGAACCTAGCAGTTAGTTACTCTTTCGAAATTCACTTCGAATAATCGTTTTTCCAATTAAAGAGTTCTCTAAAAGCGTTTAAACAGGAAAGCTAAGAAGGGGGCTAGGGTGATTTTGTTGAAATCTGTCAACAAACCGCACCATTAGGTAAAGTCCTGTGAACTCTTCAAAACCAGTGGCGATAATAGTTCAGTTTCTTTTCTTCCCACCCCCACCCCCTCCTCCTTACACATACTAAACATTAGTGGTCATCCACCTGGCCTACAATCACTGTTTGTCCCTCAAAACACCAAATGCCACCCGAAATTTGAAGAAAATTGGAAGAAATGGTGCAGAAACGAAACTCGTCACACTCCCAGCTTCATACGAGCTTACAGGAGTTTACGAGTTGGTCAGCACACGAATCAACAAAACCCCCATATACAGACTAGGGCCTATAGACTATATTAGACTAGGGCCAGAAAATGTGGAAAGGTTTCAAAAAGTGTTACGACAAACATTAATGAAAACAGGAAATCGCGTACAGTTGAGGATACTTGGTAATTTAGTATAAATAATCAACTACTCGATCATACAATTATCCAAAAAAAGTCGGATAAGAGCAAGGAAGAAAGCACTTTCTCTCAACAAATCGGACCCTTAGTAAAGTCCTGCAAACACTTGGTAAATTACTGGAACGATAAAGTTTCGTTTTTTGTAATTCCTCGCCACCCCTACGTCTAGAAAGCGGAAATCATCACCCAGTCTAGTGCACAATCGTTGTATGCAACCACTAAAATCCATCACTAAAAGCCGTCCAAAATTAGAAAATAAATCAAAAGAAATTGAATAAAACGACGTTCCAAGTCTTATGTGAGCTTACAGGATTTTACAAGAGGTAAGTACATTGACAGGAATTAACAAAATGCCCCCGTCTATTAGAATAGTTCTAGAAAATATGGGGAGAACACTTAAGTTACCAAGACTAACCTTAATGAAAACAGGGAATTGCGTAGAGTTGAGAACGATTTGAAATCGCAATAGTACGTCGTTATCGTCGCTTCGCGAACTTTACGTCGTTTCATCATCATAACTGTGTATCCATGGAGGAATACCACTAGTTACTATAACAATATAACTTATAAAAGCATTAAAACAACAGAACAAAACAATAGCGACATGAAAATAGCACCGGAAAGTGTCAAAGTGGGGCCGAGGTGACAGCGACGGCCACCGTCACGATGCGATGACGCGCTATCGCAACAAGGGCGTGTCGCACGCGGCCAGACGACGTCGCGTCGCGACGAACTTCCGAAATCGATAACGGAACGAAGTAAAACAGTGCTGCCGGCACGCACTCGCGCTCTCTTGCTCGCCTCGAAACGACGACAAAACGAAGACAATCACTCTTGTCGTCACGTGTCCCAAGCGCTACCGGGTAAAGTCGTGCCGATTGTCGTCTACTGCTCGGAGCACGAGCAGCACGAATGCGTTGCACGGCCCACCAACGGTGTAAATGAGAATGATGTGAACAGAACAAAGGTTGGAGGATACAGTGGATCGGAAAAACGACTGATGATATCAAGATTGAGGCGGTGGAATGAGGAACTGAAATGCAAAGGAGTGATTGAGTGAAAGTGCTGCAGGAGCTGGCATGGACGTTCTTTGGGTCGGCGCTTTTCAATTTGTTTTCCATCCACAACCTTTTTGTGGGTGCTACAGTCTGGGGGTGGTTTGACCCTTTCAGACCGAATAGAGAGAGAGAGGGACGATAACGCTTTGACTAAGCAGGTATGCTTATGTACAGTACCATGGCCCTTTTCCTTTTCCCCATCCCAAAAATTGGGGTGTAAGGGCACCATCGAGAACGATGATAGCCTTGAGGATTGAATTAACTCATTATTATTTTTACCCTTTACTCTTACTTATTTTTGTTAGTTTTTTATTTTTTTTCTTT